AACAACCTAAATTCCCCTCAACCAAAGAATGGATAAGGAAAATGTGGTAAATTTATACAATGGAGTACTACACAGCAGAAAAAAATAACAACATCTTGAATTTTGCAGGAAAATGGATGGAAGCTAGAAATCATTTTGAGTGAGGCAACCCTGACCCATTACTAAACAATTATCACATGCATTCATTCATAAGTCTACATGGAAAGTAGAAAAAGACAAGATCTCCTGAGTAAATTGGGAGCATGGAGACCTTGGAAAAGGGTTAAAGGAGAGGGGAGAGGCCGAGAGAGGAGCAGAGAAAAATGTAGAACTCTATAAAATTTAATAAAAAACAATAACCTTGACAAGAAGTTCAAAAAAAGAGTTGGGAAGTCTCTTAGTCCTCTGTCCTGTCTATGATTTCTCTATTTTGTATGAGTTGTGGTTTATATAACTGTAATAAAACACCATTACTAAAGCAATTTGGGGAAGAAAGAATTAACTTCAACTAGATAAATAAGACTCTCAGGTCATATCTATCACTGAGGAAAGTCAGGGAAGGAACTCAAGGTAGAAACCTGGAGACAGAAAGTGAAGCAGAAGCCATGTATGAGCATTGCTTATGGCTTTATGCCCATGGCTTGCTCAGCCTGTTTTCTTATACACCCCAGGACCACCTGCCCAAGCATGCTACCATGTATAATAAGGGGTCCTTCCACATCAGTAGTCAATCAATAAAATGCCCCACTGGTTTGCCCACAGATGAGTCAACTGTGAGCATTTTTTCAGTTGAATTTCCTTTTCTCAAATAACATTAACCTGTATCAAGTTAGCAAAAAAAACTACCTAGGACATTTTATCCCTCATTAAACATATCAATGTCAAACCATAGCATTTTCTTTGTTATTTATCTCCAAGATCTCATCTTAATATCAGTATCAAAACATAAAGAGCATCCCAATTTTTAAAAGTTCCACGGTCTTTAAAAATTCAAACCTTTCCTCCAACCCCACACTGCCCACCAATGCCTGAGGCAAGGAGGAGAGCTGGCCCTGTGTTCAGCAGAGCAGGAGAGCTGTTCCTGACCCGCTCCAGCTGCAACACTTGGGAGAGCAGGCCCTGCACCTCTCCAAGGCAGCACACTAGAACCAACCCTATAAAAGGGTGAGACAGCCCCAAAGTTGTGATTATGAGAGAGATGCCCCCATTCCTCATCTGTCTCTGGTGTCATAGACAGGGAAACGATGCCCTCTCCCACTACCTATCTATGCCTGGGCCATGTGGGAGAGCTGACTTTGCAGTCATAAGAGTGGGAAAGCCATCTCTGACACCCACCAGCTACAACACTCAGGAGAGCAGGCCCTGCACCTCGCCAGGGAAGCCAACCCTATTAGCACAGAAGTCATCAAGTCACTGAAAGTTGTGAGCATGGGAAAGCTGTCCCCATTTTCTATCTGCCTTGAGGTGACATATAAAGGGGAGAGTTGCCCCCCATCTACTCCCAGGGCAGGTGGGAGAGCTGGTCCTATGGTCATAAGAGCAGTTAAGCCAACCCTATTACTGCAGGTAGGGATGAGCCAGCCTGAAGTTGTAAACATGAGAGATATGTCACAATTTTTTTCTTTTTTTATCTTTTTTTTTATTTATTAAAGATTTCTGTCTCTTCCCAACCGCCGCCTCCCCTTTCCCTCCCCCTCCTCCAATCAAGTCCCCCTCCCTCGTATCTGATGGAATAACCCTATAGCTGCCCAGGCCCAAACCCAAGGTTATGACTTGGCCTACCCTAATATCCACTCTACTTATGACCTGATGGAGCATGTAAAGAAAGCTGACCCACAGGCACAAAACTACAGGATCTTCACAAGGCAGGACAACAACAGGTTACCCACGTAGAGTACTAATGAGGACTCAACATCAATATTGTACGAGAAATCAGAGACCTCAAAGCAGACCAGTGACTTTTTGCAATGAATACTTGATAGTAAAGATATACGGACAAGAAGGCTTACAGCACTACTCACTGTTTAACACTGCAGTGTCCATGAGGAGACTTTTATATGTTTCCCTTTCTATTTTTTCCTTTTATTCTCTTAAATTTTGTTTTATTTGGGAGGGGTAAGGGGTAAAGAGAGGATGCAAAAGGACCTTGAATGAGATCAAGGTCCATGACATAAATGACACATAGATGGATCTATATATGTTTTTCTTAGGGTTCACCTTGTTACTTAGCTTCTCTAGGGTCATAGACTATAGGCGCATTAATCTTTGTTTACAACTAGTATCCACTTATGAGTGAGTTCATACCACACTCATATTTTTGTGTCTGGTTTGCCTTACTCAGGATGTTTTTTTTTTTTTCCTAGTTCCATCCATTTGCACGCAAATTACAAGATGTTGTTTTTTTACACTTCTGCATAGTACTTCATTGTGTAAATGTACCACATTTTCTTTATCCATTCTTTGATTGAGGAAGCATCTAGGTTGTTTCCAGGTTCTGGCTATTACAAATAATGTTGCTATGAACATAGTTGAACAAATATTCTTCTAGTTTGATTGAGCATTCTTTGGGTATATGCCAAAGAGTGGTATTGCTGGGTACTGAGGGAGGTTGTTTCCCAATTTTCTGAGAAATTGCCGTACTGATTTTAAGGGTGATTTTACAAGTTTGCATTCCTACCAACAATGGAGGAGTGTTCCGCTTACTCCGGATCCTCTCCAGTATAAGCTATCATTGGTGTTTTTGATTTTAACAATTCTGACTGGTGTAAGATGGTATCTCCTAGTCATTTATTTGCATTTCTCTGATGGCTAAGAATGTTAAACACTTCCTTAAGTGTCTTTTGGTCATTTGAGATTCTTCTGTTGAAAATTCTGTGTTTAGTTCTGTACCCCATTTTTAACTAGATTCTTTAGAATTTTGACGTCTAATTTCTTGAGTTCTCCACAGATTAATAGAAATTGGTTAAATTAAAATGTAAGAGTTAGCCAATAAAAGCTAGAGCTAATGGGCCAAACAGTGATTTAATTAATGTAGTTTCTGTATGATTATTTCAGGGATAAGCGGCCGGGAACCAACAAATGGCCCCCTTCCTACAACAGAATTCTTTATATATTTTGGGGATTAGTCCTCTGTCTGAAGTGGAGTTGGTGAAGATCTTTTCCCATTAAGTTAGCTGCCTTTTTGTCTTATTGAATGTGTCCTTTGCTTTACAGAAGCTTCTCAGTTTCAGAAGGTCCCATTTATTTAGTGTTGCTCTCAGTGTCTGTGTTACTGGTAAGATCGTCTGACAAAACTGGGAGCATGGGAGTGGGGGGAGAAGGGTGCATAGTAGGGGAAGAGAAGCGCAGAAGGAGAGGATGATGGGAACTCGAGGGAACAGGATAGTTAAGATGGAAGAAGGACAGGGGTGAGAGCAAAAAAAATAAAAAAAAAAAGATACTTTGAATGAGAGAGCCATTATGGCACTAGCAAGAAACCTGACACTAGAGAAATTCCTAGGAGTACACAAAGATGACCCCAGCTAAGATCCTAAGCAACAGAGGGAAGTGGGTGCCCAAACTGGCCTTGGCCTGTAGTCAGATTGATGAATATCTTAAATGTCACCAAAGAACCTTCATCGAGCAACAGATGGAAACAGAGGCAGAGACCCTCAGCGGAGCACTGGACTGAGCTCCCAAAGTCCAATTGAAGAGTGGAAAGAGTGAGAATATGAGCAAAGAGGTCAAGATCATAATGGAGATACTCACTGAAACAGTTTACCTGAGCTAATGGGAGCTCACCAACTCCAGTCAAATAGGGAAGGGACCAGCATGGGACCAAACTAGACCCTCTGAATATGGGTGACCATTGTATGGCTTGGACAGACTGCAGGGCCACTGACAGTGTCACCAGGATTTATCCCTACTGCTTATACTGGCTTTTTGAGAACCTATTATCTTTGATGGATATCTTGCTCAACCTAGATATAGTAGGGAAGGTCTTAGATCTTCCCCAAAGCAATTAGCCTTACCCTCTCTGAGGAGTGGGTAGGGGGGTGGGGGTAGAGGGAACGGAAAGAGGGGAGGGAGTGGGAACTGGGATTGTTATTTAATTTTTTTAAAAAGAAAGATAGTTTGCTTTCTTTAAAAAAAAAATAAAAAAGGAAAGATCTAAGGGAAAAAAGACAGAATAAAAAAATTCCAACACTTTAAAAGCTCAGTTTCTTTAAAATATCCAAATTTTTACATTCATAGCCTCTCAACTGTGAGATCATGTGAAATCAAAATTAAATTACATAGTTTCTCATTTCAAGAGGAGAGAACAAGGGCGAAGTTACGTTCAAAGCAAAGCAAAACCAAAGTCCAACAGTGTAGACCTCACTGACACTTCTGGCACTTAGATCTACTGAGGCCCAAAAGACCTGAACGGATTCACTTCTCTGTTTCTGCCACCACCAATGCAATTTCTCTCATAGGCTCAGGTCTGGCCCACTCCACACCTCCTGCTTTCTTCAGTGGTGTCCCATGCTACTAACAACTCCAAAAGGCCTGGGTTTCTGCTTCTCCTGGGCTGCATCTTCAAAAATAGCCTCTACTGGAACATGTTCGTGAACCTGACACTATCACAGGCCTCAGCTTCTCTTCATGACCCCTCCAGTCCTGGAACTTCTGCTGCAACCTAAGCTGCACCTTCACTAACAGCCTCTCCTGGCGTGGAACAGTGCCAAGCCTTAGCTGGTCTGCATGAACCTTCAAGTCAGAATCACCTGTGAGTCTTTTACACAACACAAAACTCAGCCACTAGCACAATGTCTGACCTTGGTTACCTCTGTACTCCAGCCTCCGAGAGCTAACCCTGAAGAAATACTTGATGGAAGATTGTTCCTTAAATCTGATCTCATCTTACAGATGATCAGTCTTATAGTCTCAACTGATCAGTAGCAATTTCCCCAGCAAAGCAAAAGTTTCACTTTAGTAATTATTATTATTATTATTTTTAAGACAGGGATTCTCTTTGTATCTCTGACTGTTCTAGAACTCACCTTGTAGACCATGCTGACCTCGAACTCACAGAGATTTGCCTGCCTCTGCTTCCATGAGTGCTTGGATTAAAGGTGTATACCACCATTGCCCAGTTCACTTGAGTAATCCTTAATTCAAATTATCAGATGGTCCCGTAGAGTTTTTAAGGGATTCTCAAACTTCTATTTGAAACCTCACAGCCAGGCCCGCATCCTCTGCACTGCTCTCCAAATTAGTTTCTAAATTCCCACAACAGTTCGTTAAACTCTGAACGTTCCGTGGCTTTTCCAGCACAAAGGTCCAAAGTCCTTCCACAACACTTTCCAAAACCTGGTCAGGTCTGTCATGGCAATGTTGTGCTCATGAACCTGGTACTAGTTTCTGTCTTAGTTGATGTTTTTATTGCTATGATGAAACACCATAGCTAAAAGCAACATGGGGAGGAAAGGGTCCATTTCACCTTAAAACTCGCAAGTCCCACTCCCTCACTGAGGGAAGTTAGGGCAAGAACATAAGGCAGGACCCGAAGGTGGGAACTGAACAGAAGCTATGGAAGAACACTGTTTATGGCTTAATCCCCATGCCTTGCTCAGCCTGCTTTCTTATGCAGTCCAGGACCTCCTACCCAGGCTGAACCGCCTAGAAAGATGGGTGGGCCCTCCTACATTGATCATTAATGGAGAAAGTGCCCTAAAGACAAATCTGCTATGGGTATTTTCTCTACTGAGTTTTCCTCATCTCAAATGTCTCTGGTTTGTTTCAACTCACTAGGACATCTTGTCTTAAACTTCAGCATCTTAGCTATTTCTGTGCTGTATAAACCTAAAACCTATTCCAAAGTACAGATACGACATCTTAAAGCTCTCAGCTTACTTTCCTAAAACGTCACCGAGGATGATTTTATTAATTCATTTTGCCACCAGGTTAGGTTGTCTATTTGTGATTAACACAGTCTACATCAATATAATAGGCTGCCTGTCACTAAAGATTTCACAGCACTTCCTAGGGAGCAACAAAAAAGTGAGTGCCACCTTCATTCAGCTCTGACTTTCTCAATCAGTTGAGGACGCAGGAAAGCTTCAGACTAGGCACTCTGCCCATACCTTATACACACATATTTGAACACACACAGCCCCCATGGTCATACATGTAAGATGAACTTCCTGATGACAGCCCACAGACTCCCACTGACACCGACAATCAGAAAAGGGAGTCCTTGGCTGAGACTGTTTTTTGCTCACCAGCCAGCTGTCAAGAGGCCCGTGGAGAGCCAGAATGAGTGTTCAAGCCATGCAGCCCGGTTGAAACAACAGTTTCCGAAACGATAGAAGTGTTCTATGGTGGAGATGGAAGACTCCTTTCCTTTATCTCCTGGAGAAAGAAAACTGTTGCCAGGAAATGAGGTATTTTCAAACCCCTGCAACAACTGGAAGAGAAACGTGCTAGTTTTGCCAGCTAGCACAAGGAACTCGGCCTCCTGTCAAAAGGCTCTGTGTCCAACGCAGAGCTGGATTCACTTTAACAAAAATTTCCCTCTTCAGCCACCTAAGTGCCTGTTGAATTAGGCCCAAAGCCAAGGTGGGATAAGAACAATCACTCAAGCGAAATGTCCGTTTTCATTTGGATCTCCGCAGCCCTTTCTCATGTCATGGAGAAAATATGCTTCCTCGGCTTGGATCTTTTCAGGACTCCTCAGTTTGAGAAGGAAGTCAGATCCACTGCTCTACAGTCAGAACCAGGCTGTCCCTGTCCTTGAGGGAAAAAAAAAAAAGAAAGAAAAAGCTAAATTATGCCTCGCCCACTCCTACTCAGGGTTTTGATGTTGAAAGAAACCTGTTGTGGTTTAAATGACTCGGTCAGTTCTTCTGGGATTTTCCAAAGTTTAAAAAGAAATCTGTGGGAAATGAAGGATTGCATAATCACTAACATATGTCAGTTTCACTAAATCTGTTATCTTTTTGGTGTGTTTTGAATTGTACTGTCCTATCTTAAATTGCTATCACCCTAAGAGTTCTGTCTTTTAAGTAGTGATACACAACGACAAAAGAAAAAAAAAGTTAAGAAGTTTTCTTTTTCCTTGTTGTTTTTGCTTGCTTGTTTATCAGTTTTATGTATTTTTACATAACAAATTAGAAAGACAGGATGATGTAAGATGGGAAAACAGACAAATTACATAGGTACAATGGTACAAGGATGAAAATTCCATCCTCCTGTTAACCTTTATACCTTTAATGATATTGTCTCTGAGCTAACCTTTAAGGTATACCTCTGGGTGATTACATAAAATATCTGCATCTCCTATGCTTAGGTGCCACAAAATTTTCTCATTTTTGTATAAATTGGTAATGCAACTATACCCAGAAAATTATTAATTTTAAGAAAAAACCCTGGAGGTAATATTTAGGAATGGTTTGGTAGTGCATGATATTCCTTAATAAGGCTGAGGGTTACTGGGGCATACTATTTACTTCTTTAAATGACTTGTAAGATTTAAGGAGGAGGGAAAGATCCTCAGGGCTATAACTTGCTAGCTGCTTGCATAGCCTAACAGTAATAATATTATTATTAGGAAAATAAGCATAACCTCTTCAGACTTCTTTGACATTTTTACCTTTGGTGCAAAAGGGAAGAGGCCAGTAGACTCCACTGGTTGGGAAGATGGGCATGAGTGAGCATCCTCTCAACCAAGGCGCCACACCTCACCCAGATGAACTAAGGTTCATTTGCCCTCAACTCTCGCTGCATATTTAAATTGCCTGGAGAACTATAAAAGGGCACATAAATCAGGCCACAGGCATGAGGACAGGCATGGATGCTTCATAAACGGTCCTTGAAACTCCAGCTTGAAGAGAGAGTAATCTATATTTTCCTTTTGCTTCTAGGAATTCCCTGCTTACACTAGACAGCATTTTTAAGTGGACTATCTTGATAATAGACCAGGCCTATGGTAGTTTTATTTTATTTATTTATCCATTTTTTTGCTCCTGTTCCATCATGGGGCCTAATATACTAAAACTATGGCAAACACTTGATACGTATTTACTGAATAAACAGGTAATTATAGAGCAACTTTTTTTTAAAAAAAAAAGAATGATTCAATGATAAGTATATCATGAGGGGGAAATTTAGCGTAGAATATTATCATTCAGAGAAAATTCAGTGAAAATAGTGAATATTCATCTGGGTCATGAAAACTATATGAACTTTGTTTTATGAGAAAAGAGTATCTGGAGAAATGGAGTTGGAAAAACCTGACAATGAATATTTCTCAAGATGAAAGGGATCATATTTTGTTTCTTTCATTCAGCCCTCCATCACACTAAAAGGGTTTAGGTCAATAAGAATACCTGTTCAATTGTTAAAGGACTCAAGAACACAGCAAAGCTAAGTGGCTTAAAAAACAAAATTTCTGCTCACAAATAAAAGAGGAAAATAGCCAGCCAACTAACAAATATTCAAGGTAATAAGTCATGTTTCAATAACAACTTTATTTTATGAGAAAGTTTCTGGGTTGGGAGATTAATAAATACCACAGTAACAATATATCCTGATTCCCATGTGAAATTGTGTCTCATGGACTCACGTATAAAATGGTGATTGGCTGTTGCTGGGCAGTTATGCGGAAAAGTTGTGTGTTGCTGAAGCTTTCATATCTTATTTGTAGCATAAGAATAACTTGAACTCAAAATTGCCCTTGAAATTCTTTTAACATGTCTCAATAAGAAGAGCAGAGTGAGATTTTTTTTCTACAGCTGTTTCTCAACAATTACACATATCAAGCAGCCTGACTTCTGTTGGTAACTATATTAAATATCCAAAAACAAACCTTAAAAACCAGACACACACTCAGCTTGACAAAATGTTCAAACCAACATAAAAAGAAGGAGCACAGTAAGAACTGAAGCCAAGAGGCACTCATTTGGTCTTCCCTATTTCTCTCTACGTCTCTCGGTTCTCCTATCTCTTGATTTGTATTCTGCAGGGAATATAATATAATATACTTTAAGTTCACCTCAGATTAAAAAAGCTATAACCATTTGTTTATTTTTCGCTGAGACAAAGCTCACCAGTTGCATATTAACATACACTTAGAGTCCTCTAGATTCATTCAGTTTTGAAAATGTATTAATTGATACAGAAATAGGTAAAAAGAGAGAGAGATTTAATTTCAAAATAACAATAGGATTAAAAGAGATAGCGTATTTGGCAATATAGAGTGAATAGACAAACACATCTCAATAATCTAGAATTGAGGATGCAAATAAAAATTACATTAAAAACAAACATAACATTGGAAATTTGGGTGTCAAACACCAGCTGGTTTGAAGCAGAAAAGTAACTAAGTTCATATTGAACAAAGATCATGGACTGAGTATGAACCAAAAGCAACAGCCCTGGGGCTGTGGATGTCTGAAAGGAATAAGAGGTAAGAAACAGTTTGCTTCATATTGAGAAAATATTTTTTAGGGTCGCTTTTAAGATTCACTTTTATTTTGTTTTATTCTTGTATGTGTGCAACTTTTTTGGAGACAGTGGCTTATCCCTCTAAAGCTAACTGTTCTTTTTTTTTTT